TTGAACGTTTAAGAGTAATTTTTTTTTTTTAAGATATAAAGCACCTGACAAATGAGGTTTATTTGTGGATTCCACATTAAACAAATGAAGCAGTGTAAAAAAGCAACACACAAAATATTAGGGCCACATGAGATGTTTAAGATCAGTCTCTGCAGAACAAAAGTGAAAGTCTGCTTTCACCAGAATGAGTCCAAATTCACTGTATTTGCATCTGAGTCTGAAAACCTGTAAGAGCTCGAGGTTTAAAGGGATCCTGACAGATTGATGTTGTCATGCTGATGCTGTCACAGACTCGATGCTGGACAGTTAGTGATTTATGAGGACTAGTGGGTTGCCCAGAATGGGACCTTGGTTAATGTTCACCTTTTTTGGTGGACCTCCTCTGGGGGGCTGCCCACTTCCAGACCAGATTCAGCCGTTGAAGGGACCTGACTGACTGACTGACTGTGCCGGCCTCAAGCTAAACCCACCTCACACAGCAGGGAGGGAGCCCACGCTCTGCCCTCAGAGGCCTGTGAATGGACTCGGAGAAGAGGAGGGGGCTGGAGACTGATGAGGCCAAAATTGTGTTTTTCATGAGTCTCAATAGAAACAATAAAGAGCAGCAGAAAATAATCCAAACACTTGTAATGAGTCAAACAGTCAAACCACACTCGTATAATTTATGTCACTTACATCCAAACATTGTTTGTTTGTTGCATCACAGGCGGTTTTTGCATAAATGGGATGAGGAGGGAAAGTTTCTCTTTGCTCACCTTGATTCTTAATTGGATTAGGTCTTGATTATGTAGAGATGGAAAGATTTGAATTTTTATTGAGATAATTATCATATTATTGTTGCAGGAGAAAAAGAACCATGAATATCAATTAATTTTTTATCAATCCATTTAAGATAAGAATAATCTTCTTCTATGATTGTAAACTTGACAGTTTGGGTTCATACTAAAATCACATTTCACACACTGGATAATCTATTGAATATTTAAGAAATGAATAAACATGTTAATAACGAGAAGAAATGTTGGCTGTAGTTGAAAAAAATAGATGAACTTAAAGGTCCAGTGTTTAAGATTTAGGTGAAAGGGATCTATTGGCGGAAATGAATGTGTTTCATCTAAATTGTATGAGTTGTTGTTTTCTTAGAACGGGGGCCTTTACATTTAAATACTCCTCTCTACGGAGGCCGCCATGTTTTTTACAATTGTTCAAATTCTACATACTAAATACCTTTAGAGTTTTTATAACAATTAAAGTCTACCACATGTTCTCTCTTATGTTTGGAAGGGGAGGGTGAGGGGAGGGGCATTCAGCTGCAATATTCAATTTCACCACTAGATTTCACTAAATTCTACACACTGTATCTT